TGTTCCAAAGGAGCCGCGGTTCAGCCAGACCCAGGCCCAGCCACGCACACACCCAGGCTATTCACTAACTGCACAGGAGAATGTTTTTTGTTTCTTTTGTAAGTTGGTATTGTTTCTACAAATTAGATTACAGTCGGTTTTATCAGGATGCGTCAGGCATGTGAACTCTTATTCGTCCCTGTAGTGTTTACTTAATTAGCAATGCTCATTGTTTCTACCACAAAATCAGAGTCTTTCAAAGTTTTAAGTGTATTATAAGACCTGGAAAAAAAAAAACCCTCTAATAACACTTTGTTTTAAAGAATTAAATCATACAGTGCACTGAAAATGGTCTTTTTACTATGTGACAGTCGTTGTCCTTGTGTAGAACACTCCTGTCCTTTATTTCAAAGCAGGTCCTAATGATGTCATGGCTTGGTTTTGAGTATTAACTAACAAAATGATCAAATTCTTTATTTTGTAACATTAACATAAACCACTTTTGTTAAGAAGTCAAATGACACATTAGGCATAAAGCATACTACAGTTTTAAGTGGAAGAAACACTTTTTATTACATTGATAAAATAGATTTTAACTTATAATCAAATATGTTGTGGTCACCAGTAGCATGCATCCTCCACATTCCCAGTCCTAATGGGTCAAATCCATGATGTGCACTACCTACCGTACAATTCTGTAAAGTTCCCCTTTTATAGATAAACTGCAAAATTAAATAAGTCACTATTTTAATTGGTCTCATGAGCTCTGAGATTCTTAGTTAGTGTATAATTTGTTTTTTATTACATGGATTCGCAGCATATATTTGTAAGGGAGTCACATTTAAATTGAATAGTCTTATGTTTATGTGCTGATCATCTTGCAGCTGTTGCTCTAGATTGCTTCCAAAAAAGCTTTCAACCAACAAACATGAGTTAATAATGGCTCGGGTGGTTCAAGCCTCATTTCCTTGTTAGTGCACAACATCAAAACAGTCAGCACATGTAGCTCAGAAAGAAAGAAATATAGTGGGAAAAATCTCCACATCTGGAAATGTTATCACTTGCTTTTGCATGGAGTCCTCTTCCATGAAGACTTGATGTTATCTGCAGGTCAGTGCACTCTTCATTAATCATTAAGAATGTCTCTTTGCTCTGCAGAAAGCTTTGTTGGCAATGTAGTCAACATTTCAGAAACCACGAGGTGTCTGAAAAAATGTGACATTGAAATACTTGAGCCAGATGATATAAATGATCACCATCCTCTAATATCTCCAAAAGTTGATTCTGTTCATCTGGATGTTTTCACTGGGACAAACGTTCCCTCATCCAAGTGACTTCTTCAGTCTCAGCTGACTGCAGGTTTCCCCAAAAACCCCAAA